TTAATAAAATGTGAGTAGGATATTGCCTTGCTGCAGAGGGATTTTAATAGATTGGGGGACTGGGCACTAAAATGGCAGATGAAATTTAACGTAGAGAAATGCAAAATTAAGCACGCACAAGCAATTTGCACCCTAAATGGTAGTGAACTAGGGATAACCACACATGAGAAGGATTTGGGAATTGTTATAGACAACAAATTAGGCAGCAATATGCAATGTCAATCTGCCGTTGCTAAGGCCAGTAAGGTTTTGTCATGTATAAATAGGGGCATAAATTCTCTGGATGAAAATATAATTTTGCCTCTTTATAAATCGCTGGTAAGACCACACCTTGAATATGCTGTGCAATTTTGGACACCTGTTCTAAAGAAAGATAAAATGGCACTAGAAAAAGTGCAGAGACGAGCTACAAAATTGATAAAAGAATGGAGCATTTTAGTTATGAAGAAAGGTTAAAAAATTTAAATCTCTTTAGTTTGGAAAAACGGTGCCTGAGAGGGGATATGATAACATTATACAAATATATTTGGGGCCAGTACAAACCATTATCTGGAAATCTATTCATACATAGGACACGAGGTCACACATTTAGGCTGGAAGAAAGGAGATTTCATCTAAGGCAAAGAAAAGGTTTTTTTTTACAGTAAGAGCAATAAGGATATGGAATTCTTTGCCTGAAGAGGTGGTTTTGTCAGAGTCTATACATATGTTTAAACTGCAATTGGATAAATCCTTGCAAAAACATAACAATAATTTCTAATTAGTAGGGTAATAGCCACTTGATCCAAGGAGACATCTGACTGCTATTTTGGGGTCAAGAAGGATTTGTTTCCTAGTTTGTTGCAAAATTGGAAGTGCTTCAGACTGGGTTTTTTGCCTTCTTTTGGATCAACAGCAAAAACATATGTGAGGAAGGCTGAACTTGATGGGCGCAAGTCTCTTTTCAGCTATGTAACTATGTAACTATGTAAATAATAAAGCATACAGATATATAAATTAAATGAACATTAATCCCTATATTACCACTAGGTGGCACTTGAACACAACATTAGCTTACTTTCAGATTACATTTTGGAACTGTAGTAGTTGAAAGACTTGCATCATTGAGCTCAACAGGAAATGTTAAAGAATATAGATATATGTATGTGTGTGTGTCATTATATCTTAAGATAATGGGCAATTGTTCAATGGACTTCAATGGAGGAATTGATATTCAGTCAGAAGAGTAAACCCTTTCTCTTCTAAGAGAATTCAGACAAGTTTTTTATTTTTATTTTTTAAAATTTGAAAATTAAACATCATAAAATATCCAGTATAATTATCGATGTATTTCTATAGGCTAGATATTAAGTCAAAGCTGAACACCAATTAGATTTAATAAAACCAAAGGTAAAACATAAACATGTCAGTAGAGTTTCCTCCATATGGTTAGATGAACAGGAACATTCCTGAACTATATAATTATACCTTTTTATATATTTATATACTATGCAATTTTTACATTTTGATATTTTGCTAAAGCAGTGTGATTCCTTGAAAAATGTGTTGTCATAGAAATAATGTATTTAACATTCAGGCTCCACCCCACTTTTTAAACAAGACCTCTCAGAGTATTTTGTCAAGAACCTGCACACGTTCAAAATCTACCTTCCGCGAGATGAATCTTTGGTTGTGTTTAGTGCTGCTTATCGGTGCGACAGGTAAGAGAGCAGAATGATTTAATGATGAATAATGTACACAGTAGCAGTATATTAAATGTACTATTTAGATTGGATGTGCGTATTCAATCAACTGAATGTATGTGTTTCTACAAGACATACAAGACATTAAATTACATTAGCTACAAGTAATTTAATGACATTAGATTGTGTTTACCTATTTCATGAAGTTATTTGTTGATATTTTCAGGTTTCTCCAGCTCAGACAAAGTCACCCAGACCCAAAGAGAAGTAATTGCTGCAGAGGGAAGTCTGGCTCAGTTTTACTGTAAATATGAAACACAATATAGCAACCCACATCTTTTCTGGTACGAGCATCAGCCAGGCAAGGCCCTTCATTCTATTATTCGTAGAGATAAATACAGCAAAACAGAAATCGAGTCTGGTACAAACTACGCATCCAAAGTGAACATAAGTGACAACTCCATCTACCTGAAGATTTCTGATGTCACAGTGACGGACTCTGGGCTGTATTATTGTGCTCTGAGGCCCACAGTGTCTGTTACTGCAGACTCCAGTGTACAAGAAGCTCTGACACACAGCTGAAGCTATTGTGTGTCTCTTCACTGAATACATAAAAAACAGAAGTCAAATGCAATGGCCTGCTTTCAGTATGTAATGTAAATATCCAATCCTAAATCTGAAGACTACAGCAATCATTTTGCACTTTGCACATCTGGGAAGAATATTTTAACCAATGACCTCGCTAGGTGGGGAATAGAAGGGGCTATGCCCCCCCCTCACATCATGCTGTGCCTCTCCTTGGGCCCTCCCCCCCCCAGTTGAAATGCCGTATTGATCTGTCGGGTCCTTGATCTGTGCCCTTACTTGCCTTGGACCCAAGCCTTGTGCCGGGCGTGGGGCCCCTCAGCATCATTTGCCAGGGTATAAGTGGGGGGTGCCCAGGGGGAGCCCATCATTTTCCAGTCTGCAGCTCTGCACCCAGTGGAGCTTCAGACCAGATATCACCAATGGACCACCAGGGAACTGATTTCTTAGAAAAGGTATTTTAGTGTGGGGAGGTGTGCTCACTAAAACATCCTCCCCAAACACTGTAGTGTCACCACCTGTCACCCACCCACACAAACTGCCCCCCCACACATACAGGCACCCCCCTACACCCTCTGTACACAGCCAATAATTCCTGTATAACAAAGTACTCACTTTATTAATACATATATAACAGCATCTTCATATTGCTGCCTTGTTACACAGGGTTTCTGCAGCCGCCATTTCAAATCCCTCGAACATTCCACCAACTGCCAACAGGAACAGGAAGTAAAGAACCAAAAGAAAGGAAGTGCATCATTCACAGCCAACAGCAGTTCAACTGCCCAATGCCCATACTTCACAATACATACACTCATCCACTCACATACACACATACCAGCCCAACAGTCCATACATCACAATACATACACTCATACACTCACACACTCATACACAGCCCAACCGCACATACATCACAACTGTTAGCCCCACACATATTGTCACCCACTACACACACTTTCACCCCCCTCCCTCACCCCTAACACACACACACTGTCAACCCCCCAAAACACGGACGCACACACACACACACATATATACTGTCACCACCTAAAATAGGTATTGAAAGACATGTTTTAATGTTTGCAGATGACACAAAGCTCTGTATAGAAATAAAATATGAGCAGGATATTGCTTTGCTGCAGAGGGATTTACATAAATTGGTGGGCTGGGCACTCAAATGACAGATGTAATTTAATGTAGAAAAATGCAAAGTTATGCACTTTGGGGTAAAGAATGCACAAGCAACTTACACCCTAAATTGTAGTGAAGTAGGGATAACAAAACACGAGAAGGATTTGGGATTTGTTAGAGGCAATAAATTAGGCAGCAATCAATTGGCAGTTGCTAAGGTCAGTAAGGTATTGTCATGTATAAAATGGGACATAAATTCTTGGAATGAAAATATAATTTTGGCTCTCTATGGTAAGACCACACCTTGAATATGATGTGCAATTTTGGGCACCTGTTCTAAAGAAGGATATTATGACATTAGAAAAAGTGCTGAGACGGAGTACCAAATTGATAAAAAAAAGAATGTAGCATTTCAGATATGAAGAAAGGTTAAAAAAAATATATATCTGAGGGGCCATTTAGCAGCCTGTGTATTTGCATTTAGCATTGTGTGTGTATATTTATAATTGTATGTGCATGTGTATATTTAGCTGTGTGTTTGTATGTATTTAGAACTGTGCATGTATTTACCAGTGTGTTTATGCGTTTGGCAGTCTGTGTGTATGTTTTTACCTGTATGAATGTATGTATTTAGCTGTGTGAATGTGTGAGAATTTGTGTATTAGTCTGTTTGTTTGTTTGTATGTGTATGTATGAGGCTGTGTGTATGCACCTATTAGGTAGTTGGTGTGTATGTATTAGACTGAGCACCCGACCCATCCACTATAGTTGCCCCTTTGGAGGTGACCACAGGAAAGCATTAATTGAGTATTCTCTGGAAGCAGTTTAAGCAATGAGCATTGCTCTAAGCATGTTAATCTTTCATGTTAAAATTAGTGTAGGACACATCGAGTGTGGGGCTTAACAATATGGCCATATGGTGGAGCTGAATTCCCATATTTGTTTGCTTAGATAAGTGATTTAAGTAGCCTTGTAAAATTTTAAAATGTATTTTTATATGTGCACTGTAACTGAATCTGTACTGGAGACAGATAAAAAGACATATAAATGTATGGACAAAGAGAGGGATGAACAGAAGAACAGGCAGACAGATAGATGTAAGATTGTGATAGATAGACTTAATGCAATACTATATTCGTGAAAATGTTCCCCATATGTCAGTACAGTTTTCATGTTTTCTTTTCTAGATGAACAATTTGCATAGTCTCCTCCCACTTCTCTGAATCATCTGAATTGACCCCTCCCATTTCCTTAAATTACTTCTCGCAGATACTGGTTTACATCATTCTTTAGTTTCACACAGAGCAGAGTGTATCTGTCATGAGACTTTGGCTGAGTGCAGTGACCTGCATCTTTTTAGCAGGTAAGATTAGGTAACATTCTAGTGACTCACTTATGGGAACAGATTACTGTTTGACATTTTATAACATTTATCCATCCTTGGCTAATAATGACAAGATTCCGGTAAGTTTATTGTGGATTATTCTGATGTAAGAAATATTTACATTAAATTATGTACCGGTATTTGCCTGCTAATAATCACACCTTTTACTTACAGGGAGATGCAGAGCAGACAGTGTCACACAATCAGCCTCTGACATGTTGGCTCCTAATGGGGGACAGGTTACTATTAACTGCACATATATAACATCGAGCAGCGAACCATATCTCCATTGGTATATCCAACAACCCGGAAAGAGACCTCGCAATGTTATAGTAAGACATGCATACAGTGCATATGTGGAGGAGCCTGGTACACGGTATGCATCCAAACTGGATAAAGAGACCAAATCTACCTACCTGAAGATTTCTGATGTCACAGTGTCTGACTCTGGGCTGTATTATTGTGCTCTGAGTGCCACAGTGTCTGTGTCTGCAGACTGCACTGTACAAGAAGCTCTAACTCTGTCCAAGGTGCTGAAATAAGGCTGGTGTTGCTGCTTGTCTGCTAAGCATACTTATAGGAATTGTCTCAGGTGTAGATTTGTCAAAGTTATAATTTATAAAAATCAAACACAAAGTGCTCAAAGCAAAGGGTTTATATTATTATATGTAGGTTTTGCATGCATTTTCTAAATGCTTTGTAATAATAAAGCCCAGAACAATCAACTAATATTTACAGTTTAAAACTGTTTCATCAATTACATATTTTGCAAGAAGGCAACCTACCCTTACATTCCAGCCTACCTGATGCTCTGAAAGTGTGTGATAGACCCGTAGACTTTTGATAAAGTTACCTAAATTACAGCCTATAATCAAATGTATTGTAAAGTATTTCACATAATATGTACCATCCACTTATTTTGAGAGCCAAAAGTAAGAGGAATATGTAAACAATTAGCAAAATGGAGGGATCCAAAAAATGTCTATAAGTGACACTTAAATGATAATAAACATAAGCTATGCAACTAGAATCACCAAACAATATAGAAAAATACAACCTGTTAATTGTTTTAAACACGAGTAATACACTAAAAACTCTGAATCCAATGAGACTATCTACCGAAGAAAACAAAAACTAGACATAGTGTTATACAGTACAGAAATATTGTGCAAAGGGAAATAAAGGGAAGAAGGGAAGGTAGGAGAGATATCACAAAATGAGAAATAATTCCAGGCTCACCTCACCAACAGGGGTATATCGGTAGTGAGCGATCTTCACTTTTTTCACCCTAGATATGTGGGGCAAACAGAGACAGTCAGATAGTGCAATATTAAAGACACATCTTAACAAGAGAATTATAAAATGCAGGAATAAATTAGCATATCTCCACTATAATATATGGAAGGAACAGGTCATACTACCTTGTAGAGACTTCTTCCCAAAACAAAGTTATAACAAAGTTGAATTTCTCATATTTACATAGAATATATATATATATATATATATATATATATATATATATATATATATATATTTATATATATAATTAAAGGGATGTAAAATTTATATTAGACATGTTCATTCATTTTTGTATAAATCAAAAAAAAATTACCAACATTTTGGTTTTAAGTTCAATAAATTTATGATCAAAATTGAACTCTGAACAAAGTTAATTTGTTATTTAATGGCAGGCTACTGCTCTTCTGGCTGTATGAATAAGTTTTATATATATATATATATATATATATATATATATAAATAAAAGACAAAAATCAGCACTCCCTGGTAGTTTTCTCTGGAACTTATTTACTAAAAAAAAAATGTTATGTGTCCTGATGAAAGCTCCGGCCGGGAGCTGAAACGTTGACAAACGTCTGGATTCACCAAAAATAAATCGGATGAACAAAGCCTAGAGTGCCGGTATTTTTTTGATATTTCTATATTGCTGTGACTTGGCACCAGGTATTTAATACTTTTTTTTTTTTTGTAGGAGTGCAAGAGGTTGATCTGTTTGGTATCTATATATATATATATATATATATATATATATACATATATATATATATATATATATATATATGACAAAAATAAGCACTCCCAGGTAGTTTTCTCAGGAACTTCTTTACTAAAAAAAAAGTGTAACAGTCTGCGTTTCAGTTCCATTCAGTTCCATTCAGGAACGTTCATCATGACAACCACACGTGATATTCAACAAAACAAACGATTAAATAAGGCAAAAAATCAATTACTCACAGTTCAGCTGTAGGGTGGGCTGGCATTCTGACTCCCAGGGCACAAGTCAGGATGCTGAATTCAGCTGTGTGCAAATTCAGCCATTGAGTATGTATCAAGTGAAGAAATCTATCTCCATGGTAACCCGTGACATGGATCTACCGATCAACGCTCCCGTTCTGTCAGCAATCACTCTGAATGTTTAGGCATCTTGCATCTCCTAGGAGATATCTGCACCCATGTGATGTCGGCTAACTTGCAGACTGCCGCTTGTGTATCACAAGCCTGAAGCTGAACGCCTCCCACCCTCCGAGCATCAGAAAGTCACTGTACGGGAGATACTTAAACATATACAATGTTACACTTGATCATAACATAACTCAACACATATGAAACAGTAAATTAATATCCGGATGTTTATCTAACTTGTACGCATAATTCACACCAATATTTGTGAATCCTTCCAAAAGTACAGAAGAATATATATCAGACTCATTCCCTGTCTGTAGCTCTCTTCGACTTTCACATAATAGAACTATACATATAGTTCTATTATGTGAAAGTCGAAGAGAGCTACAGACAGGGAATGAGTGAATGCACAAGCTCTTGAGTATTATATATATATATATATATTTGTGGTCGTGGCAATATAGCCGTATATGGAAACATAGCATATGATAACATATCAATATTTGGAATTAGTCGGTTGTGGTGTGCCGAAACCGACAGAGGAGTAGGCCTGTAAAAGTGGGCCCACCTTAGAGGGTGTTTGTAATAGAGGGAGTGGTGGGTAGGTTGACTCGCCAGACCATTACGGTAATGTGGGAGTGGATTGGCAGCCTTTTTATAGGGAAACCAAGCCCCTCCCACAACTACAGGCCAAGCCTTTTAATTTGTGGTCGTGGCAATATAGCCGTATATGGAAACATAGCATATGATAACATATCAATATTTGGAATTAGTCGGTTGTGGTGTGCCGAAACCGACAGAGGAGTAGGCCTGTAAAAGTGGGCAAAAATAAATTATCATAAGATGTAATACGTTGACCAAAACTTTATTTAGATAAGTCACAGAAAGCTAGTCTTAATTCTTTAACAGGATTGGGTATGTAAAGAGTATAAGCGGAAGATTTCCAGCGTCCCATTGTTTTGATGATGTGCGGAGGAATGTGGTTAGCAGAAGCTGTAGATGCTGCTCCTATTCGGAAAGAATGACCCGAAAATTGACTAGGGTTCAAGCCGAGTCTAGTCAACAGCAGTCTTACATAGAGCATAAACTTTACTGTACTTAGAACATTACCGTGCAGTTCTAGCAAAGGTTGTAATGGTTGTTTGTGGAGTGATAATAGATAATTGTCAAAATTTTGTACAGGGCACCATTTGTTATGAGTAGGGTATAAGGGGATCGTAACGGTATGACCTATGGCGCTGGTTTTTGAGTGTTTTAGCGTGAGTAGGTAATGGTCGTTCTGTTTCGCTAAGTCCATAATTCTTAGGTAATCAGGGGACGTGATAGTCCTAGTTGTGAATTCGTTGGGACGGAGGAATCCATAAAAAGCAAGATATATGGCTGATTTTATTACCGTGTTTGTCCTGGGCTCAAAAGGAGAGGAATCTAACAAGTTTACTAGTGCATGAAATATGTGGTTATCAATAGGTAGTCGTTTCTCGGGGATATGTGTATCTAATTTCTTAATGCCTCTAAGAACTGTCTTGATTTGATATGAGGACAGGAAACTCGTGGCGTTGGGTTGTTGAATTAGCATGTGGTGTTGAATTCCCGTAAGGTATAGTTTTATAGTGTTAAATGATAGTTTAAGGTTGATGTGGCAAAAAGAAGTGAAACCCAATATTGTTTCTATCGTGAACATATCGTGAATGTGAAATTCAGTGATGAATTTTTTGAATATGTGAAAAGCTCTGTCGTAAGTGTTTCTAGTGTTTACAGAGAGTGCCATGTGAGAAATGTGACGTGCGTGATTTAACAAAGCTTTTAATCCATTATCATGTCTGTGAAAAGTGGGACTGGAGTTGCCCGTCTGGAGGCGGTGGGTAGTGTCGTGAAGAATTCCTGAAAACGAAATCGAGACAAGTGATCAGCACTGATGTTTGTGCACCCTGGAACGTGAATACATGTTAGAAAGAATTGACAAGTGGCTGCTATCCATGTGAGTCGTCTCAATAGCCTCATAATTACCAGGGATGATGACCGGCCTTTATTGACAATATGGCAAGTAGCCATATTATCAGAATAGCACCACACCGTGTGACCGGACCACTGGCGGCCCCAGGTAACGGCCGCAGCCACGATGGGGTACAATTTGAATAAAGCTGAGGTCTCTGTGAATTTTGTGAGTGATTTGACCTCAGTTGGCCATGGCCCCACGAGCCATAGGTCACCCCATATGGCTGCAAACCCCGTGTTTGCTGCAGCGTCTGTCCATATTGTGGGTGAAGTGTCTGAGTGAGATGGTATAAACATGGCACGCCCGTTCCAAGAAGTGAGGAAAATCCTCCACATGCTCAAATCAGATGTCGCATGTTTGTCTAGTGAAATGTAAGATGTGTCTGAGGTGAATTGTGGAAATAGTGATAGCAAATGTGAAATAAATGATCTCCCCTGGGGAATGATTCTCATTGCAAAATTAAGCGATCCCAGCAATGATTGTAGGTCTTTCTTAGTGCAACGACCTTGCTGTAGGTAGTGGTCAATACTTGCTAGGATACGCTCAATTTTCTCCTGAGGGAGGCTGGCCAGCATGTGTACTGTGTCTAGTTGTATTCCTAAAAATTGCATCTGGGTGGCGGGCCCCAGGGTCTTGTGTGGGGAGACTGGAACAGAAAGTGACTCAAATAATGCCAACATGTGTTTTAAACTTGTGGGTGGACTTGTGTTGTTCTCAATTGTGAGGAAGTCGTCTAAATAGTTAATCACAGAGGGACATTGGTAAACATTTAGCAACAACCAACATAAAGCCTCTGCAAATGTGTCGAAAATACGTGAGACGAGTGAAGAAATAGTATAACCCTTCCCATTTAATGCCGTGAAGGTGCCAAAGTGTAGGGTGCATAGGCAGTAGTTTGAAGGCATTTACTACATCCGTTTTGCTTAACCATGCCCCTGTGCCAGCTTTAATGATAGCCCCGATGGCATGGTCGATAGTGGCGTAATGTAGTGAAAACTCTTCAGATGGTATCAGTGAATTTAGGCTAGGGACCGTGGAGGAATGTGGTGCGGATAAATCAATGATCAGCCTGGGTTTAAGTGAGTTTTTCCCCGTGACAATCCCAATGGGATTGGTTCTCCAAGAATTGAAGGGTGGTGAAAGGAATGGACCCAGCAAAAAACCTTGTTTCACCTCGGTTGTGATAAGTTTAAGTACCAGCTGTGGGTCATCCCGTGTGGAAAGTAAGTTGTCACATTCCAGTGTGCCTGTAGGTAAATATATCAACCCTGTGTGAAATCCCTCTGATAATCCTGTTATGAGATAGTCGCTGAAGTGTCGTGATGGGTGTAGACGTAGCAAATCGGTGAATAAGCTGAGGTTCACGCATGTGAGATAGGGTTTTGGGAAAGCTTTATTTGGGCACATTGTCTTGGAATGAGCCCTGAAACAATGTGAACAAACATGCATTAGTCTACAGGAACTAAAACCACAATTGCTGGCATTAAAATTGTTACATACTTGGGATTTCCCTAAGAAGACAATATCTCTTCCTAGTTTGTCTTTCAAACCTTTGTTTGATCTTGGGGGGTAAGTTGCTGCTTGGTTTTGTTCTACCTCAGCTGTATTAGGGCAGAAATTTGTGCTGTGGGTTGCTGATGAGCATACTGCACAAGTTGGGGGCCTGAGGCCTGCAAAGTGCCTACAGAATAGCTCAGTGTCCAACTTGCTCCAATTGATGTTTAAGTTGAACTGAGCCAGAGCTGCTGCCACTTTTGCAGAGAAGGACCGGTGGTAATCGTAAAACGCTGTACCACCGTATTTGTGTCCCAGATCCACCAACTTGTGCATGTACGTATCCAGCTCGGCTCTTTTCCCTGGGTATACAGTGCAATATACATCCCTATAGATGCCAAACCCTAATACAAATTCTGGGATGTTCAATTTTTTGTTTAGGCGAGGGTCTCTAGCTCTAAGGACTACGGAAACATCCCCACAAGCAAAGGTCCTGTTCTCAAGGACATCCTGGGAGGCAATGAGCAATGAAGCTAGGTTAACGTCCTTGCCTTCCAGAATGTCTTTTTTAAGGTGAGCTGGGACCATGTGTGAAGGATCAATGGATTCTATGTCAGCCGTAGCTGCCAGGGTATTACCGGGTAAGGTATTAGCAAGAGGCTGGGTGGTGACCGTTGCATTTGTGGACTGAGTAACACTACCGGCCTCCAATTTGTCCAGCCTGTCACTGATTGTCCCTATGGATGCCATAAGGGACGTCATCATAGCATGAAATGCTGGCATTTGCGATCCGCTAGTGCCTTCCCCTGCATCGGAGTTGTCAGTGGTAGTGTATAATAGCCTATACAACTCCGCCTTCCTAGCTGTAGCCGGGAAAGGGATGCAGCGTCTTCTTAGTTCAGCTGTAAGACGTGGTATGGTCCATGATCTAAGGGATGCAGGGCTATTCACGTCTGTACCCGGAACAGGGGTGGCAGGCCTAGCGGGTGTGCTAGGTAGTGACAGTTCTTCAGGGATATCAGGCGTTAGTGACATAACTGAAATTATAAATATAAACAGTCAGTCGTATAAAATGTATTGTGGGTGGGTACTGGTGGGCTAGCTAAGTACCAAGCGGTGAAACAATTAAACTTCTTTTGAGAGTGACAGATGAGACCCTGCTAGTTGCCAAGCGGCTTGAGAGGCACTATCTATGCGTGGGCCCGAGGGGAAGATTGAGGCCACCGAACGTTGTGGCGGGGTGTAGGCCTCTCGGTGTCATTTAAAGCATAAAAAAGATTGGGAGTGACAGGTGAGGCCCTCTCTGTATATTGATGCGAGGCGGCTAGCTATGATTTGGCCCGAGGGACGTATTACCTCCGAGTGTGAGGTTAGGGATGTTGGCCTCGCGGGACCACTAGCCTATGGATTAAGACCAGAAATATTTTAACTAATTGGGCCACCTAACCTGGGACCAGTACCCCTCAATATTTAAGGGTATATTGGGTTCTGGCGTAGTACCTGATAGTGAGTCAGGCTGATCTCTCAATGACGTAACTGTGATATTTGTCGGGTAGTTGACCTGTAGGTATAAGATGATAAGTAAATATCTGGAAAGTGGGGTGGTAGTTAGGCCAGATCGTGGACCAGAACCTACCCGATAACTGCGGAGGAGATATAATCAAAAGAAACCGGCTCCTTGCTTGTAAAAGCTACCGTTCCAATGATTAAACCTAGGAGAGTAAATTATAACATTTTACCTAAAATCATATGTTTATATGGTCATTTATATGAATCATATGACAATGTTACCAACCTATAAAGTATAATTGATACCGATCACTGGGTCCCCAAATTTTAATATGAATTCTGGTAAGGCAACCTGTTGGAAGATGTCAGAAATCAGGATTGAATTAAGTGTAGCATAATTTAAGAAAAAAAAAAAATTTAATTTTAATTTGTATTTATTTTGGTGCTATATCATTATTGACCTGTAGGGGGCGAGATTCCACCTAAGAAGTGGATGCAGGATCTTGTATAATTAGTGAGAAATGCACGAATTTGAGTCGAATGTGATGATAGTATATAATGACTATTTTGTATAGTAGAAAACCTAAGTATCTAGCCGAATGTAGCGTTCGTTTGAAATCTAAAACATGAATTACATAGCTTAGCGACGAAGTGTATTTTGGCGAAAATAACCGAATGCGGTTGAATGCGAATGGGGCTCCGCCGTGTAAGCCGTAAATGTGAAGCGGTTTGCTTTACGGCGGGCCCACTTACGTTTTTTTGGCGGCAGCAGTACCGGGGAAGCTGTGCAGTCGGCGGTGATGGCGGAAAAGCGCCCTGGAGAGCCCGGAACCACTCAGGAGGGCACCGGACCAGGAGACCACGAGGAAACAGGTAAGAGGAATCCAAAATGGCGGTCTGAACCGGAAGTAACGTTTCAGACTCGCCAGACCATTACGGTAATGTGGGAGTGGATTGGCAGCCTTTTTATAGGGAAACCAAGCCCCTCCCACAACTACAGGCCAAGCCTTTTAATATATATATATATACACACACACATCTTTTTTTGTTATTTTGCAATATTTTCAGTTTCTTTTGTAATCATTTCAACATATTTTTTTTACCGAACCGAAAATCCCAAATTATCAACCAAACCAAAATGATCCAAAGCAAAAATTATTTCTATGTACATCTCCGGTTTATATACACAGATAATAAGGCAGACACAGAAAAAGATAAATAAAAAAGCATAAATAAAATAAGATTTGTAGAAAGATGAAAGGTGCAACATATTCATCCTCACCTTGCGGTATCTGCGCTCAGCGGCCATGCGTCAGTGGACCTGACTACTGCGGCTTGTTGGTGGACACCGGCTGCTGCGGATCCATGTCAGATTGTGGCCCCACAATTGCCCGAGGGTGTGATCCTGAGTGTTTATTTCTGGTTATTGACTTTGGCTTAGTTTTGACTTCCCTGTATTCTGGTATCCTTGACTTTTGGCTTTCCCTCATCGTTGTGTCCCATTCTGTGTCCCTGACCTTGGCAAGTATTCTGACTATTCTCTGGTACGTTAAGTCTGGCCATTATAAGGCCCGGTAAGACGTTACCTTTTAGTCCTAGGTGTGATACAGTTCTACGTGCTGGATCAACTAATATTCCTTACAAAAGGATGGATGGATGACAGGAGCTGAAAAGTAGATAAGATATGTAGATAGACTGACAGAAGGTAAGATATTAGATATTGATAAAATCATTACATAGATTGAGTCTTTATAGGAAAAAGTGTCGAAACATTTCCTTACATTTATAATTAGATTGAAAAAATAAGTTTGACTTTTGACCGGGCTCTTTGGGTACATGCAGTTAAGTGCATTCATAATAAAATGTTGCTTAGTGTGAGGATTTTTCAGTTGTTTAATAATACTAGTGGAAATGGGAAAAATGGGAGTAAAATCTACTTTTACAAACACTGTCATCACAGTCATTAGACAACTTTATTACTGAGGGGAGTGCTCAACATCTTTTTAGCCAATAATTAAAACTAGTGACTTCTAGAGTACTGTGATGGACCGCCTGGCACCCCGACTGGGTACCTCCGTCAATCGCTGCATTCTAGTACTTGTGAGCACCATAAGCACTGTACTGGAACACCATAACCACTTTTATCTCTCCGTCCTCAACCCACCCTGGACCCAAGACCAGGATCCAACTTCCAGTGGGTAGACCTCTCTCTAGCCCAGAGAGCGTAGCAGGAACAGCTCTTATAAGAGCTAGTGATTATACTCAGGGGAGCCACACTGGTCTTTTATGCAAGTCCCCAAGCAAGGTGTATGACCTTGTTAGGTCACAGGGACACAAACTTACAAACCAATAATAACACATTTACAATGTAAGGCACTCCCATACATAGCACACAATCCCACCCCTATGCTTGGGAGATAATTGGATGAGTAACTGTACTAATTCTAATCCAATTATCTCAGAGCACAGAAAAAACATACTTTTTTAAAACACCCCAAAAGTACCCTAAAAATACATTCAACCCCACAATCCCCTGATAGCCCTGATGTGGGTGACCAACATATCCATAAATCACCCAGATCAGTTCAGGGGTTAGGGAATTTCCTGGAAGTCTTATTTTTGACCGACCGTGCATATGGTCCTATGCCCAAAACAGTTCCAGGGAATCAGGGCTAACGATCAGTCTTTCTGCCTGGAGTAAATAAGTAAATAACTCACATGAACAGAGCCTTTTCAAGTGCATTGGGCAAGGTATATTGCAGGGCCCATAGTCCTGAGGCAAGAGGCTCCAAGAACCTGTGACAAGGTTACTTTCGTCACAAGTATATTTTGTTGTTGCTTATGTACTGGGTTAGCGAATACTTGAAGAAATCATACCAGATGAAGTTAAACCCTGCATTAAACAGGGAAACATTGTTTCCACTGTTGGTGAGTATACCTGACACCCCTGCGTATTGAGACTGAAGGATAATTTATATTAGAGTGCTAGGGCCCAATGAAAAGAAGAGCAGGAAATTGTAAATTTCTTTGTTCATATTCCACTAAGTCAAAAAGTCCCAACATATTCTAGCCCTGATACAACTTCCTCTTCATCCCTTTTCCAGGCCAAATAGAAAACAGCTTTGATATCAAGTATAACCACTTTGGGAAGGCAGATGACTCCTATCCCATAAGTCCTCTCCTGCCTGTATCCCATTATCTCGTACACATACAGAAATTCCCGCTAGCTACATCTATAAGCCCAGGAGTTTGCAATAAATGTTATGCTAAAACACATTTTATGCTAAAACACATTATTTGGCATAGAAGCAATTGTACCTCCCAGTTACTAATCAGACAGCTGGGAGGGTGCTTTTTCTGCTTTGTGCCCCAGTGCAAAGCAGATGTCTTTGCTTCTCTATGAGAAGAATTGCAGCAGGAACTGTGCATCGATTGCTGATCATGTGGCCAGCATTTCAGTGCTTCACTTTGAGAAGTATCAAACTGACTGGGAGATCATCGACTCTGATGATTTTCTGGTAGGAGGAGCACATGCCCATTAAGGCTATTGAGTTCTTATTGTTTTGCTCTCACGTACTTGGTGCATACATATTTATTTACCTTAATCAATTATGCCAACAGGTGGTAATTACCATCAAACTAATATACAGGTTAAAGTACAATCATTAAGTGAAACAGAAACAATTGTGTAGGAGCAATAAAACTGGGTGAGGAACAGCCAAACTCTGCTAACATGGTGAGGTTGCTGAATGCAGTTCTATGTCAAAAGTTATACACTATGGCAAGACTGACACAGGAATAAGACACAAGTTAGTTACACGGCATCAGCAAAGGCTTTCCTAGGCATGCCATTACAAGGCAGATAGGTGTTTCCAGAGTTGCTAACCAAGTTCTGCTGAGGAAGCACAAATATGGTAGCATGGAGGACTGTAGCTACAGTGGTTAGGCAAGGGAATTTAGTACAGCATGTGAAAGACATATCATATTTACTTTGCAACTGGAAGATGTCCAGCATTTCCATCAGCTTAAAATTAGCAGAAACCAGGGAGACATCTATTATCTGTTAAAATGTGGTCAGAAGTGGTCTTTATGGAAGACTTGTGGCCAACAGACATACTTTTGATGTGGAAACAAGACCACTTGGACTATGAGAATACAGGAACTGCAGTGCCAAAATATCAGCAGGTGCTTGTAACGGATCGCCTGGAACCCGACTGGGTACCTCCGTTTGAAGGATGCTCCTAGTGCTTCCCGAGGGCTCCAAGCACTCCGAACCACCGCAGCTTGGTTGGGGTCTCGCCATCTTCCTCCTTCTCTGGGCCCAAGACCAGGGACCAGCTTGCAGTAGGTAGACCTCTCCTAAAACCAGAGAGCAAGAACAGGAACAAGCTCTTACAAGAGTTTACTCTGTGGAGTATAGTGATTATAGCAATCGCCAGAGTGTAGGTAGTTCTCAAATCCCCCAAACATAAGACGAAACTTCATGAAGGGAAGAACAAGTCTCTTTAATGAGCACAAAGGCATTTCTTTTATACACATTTTGCCTACAAGATTATCACCCATGTGGATCTTGTGGAGCACAAGACACAAAGGACACAAACCAATCAAAACGATACAATAATGTCCGACACTCCCACATACAGCACACAAGCCCTCCCCTCTGCCTGGGATATAATTAAAGTAGTACAATAATCTAATTATCCACAGGCAGAAAAACACACATTTTCCCCAAAGTCTAGAAAGCACCCCAAAACACAACACATCCCCATTATACATCCATAGATAGCCCTGATCTGGGTGAGCAACCTATCCAAAAATCACCCAGATCAGAGCAGGGGTTCAAAGTTTTTGTGGAAGTCTCTTTTGACTGACCTAGGGTAATAGGATTGGTATTGGGCTTGTTTCTTACTAGTCTGTACTAATCTTCTTATTGATTTCTATGTTGAGTTATGCCCTAAGTACCCCACAACAATTACAGACTCGGTGTTAGATTCTCTTTCATCGTGTTTGCATATTTATCGAATCTGAATACAAGTTGCTATCTTTCTGGTAAAGAATGCTTCAGGTGATGCATGCGATTGTGCTGACCATTGATGAGGGCTGCTGAAGATGCTGATGGGAGGTGGAGCATGTGTGTATGGGGGGGCAGTATGTGTGTATGGGGGACAGTGTGTGTGTGTGTTTGGGGCAGTGTGTGTATTGTATGTGTGTGTGGGGGCAGTGTGTGTATGTGGGGGAGTGTGTGATGTGGGGGCAGTGTGTGTATGGGGGCAGTGTATGTGTGTGTGTAAGTGTGTGTATGGGGGCTGTGTGTGTGTGTGTGTGTGGGGGCAGTGTGTGTTGGGTGGCAGTGTGTGTGGGGGCAGTGTGTGGGGCAGTGTGTGTGTGGGGGCAGTGTGTGTGGGGGCAGTGTGTGTGGGGGACAGTGTGTGTGTGGGAGACAGTGTGTGTGTGGGATACAGTGTGTGTATATAGGGGACAGTGTGTGTATGGGTGGCAGTGTGTGAGTAGGGGCAGTGTGTGTATGGCGGAGAATTATTGTGGGTCTGTGGGGTTGAAGGGTGAATTAATAAATTAATCTTTTTTTTAATTAATAAAAAATTATAATTTTGATATCCCATTATACAGCATGGGAAAATTCCAAAGAACTTCCCCAGGCTGTGTAGAATGATTACAGAGCATTCTGATTGGTTGGATTTCAAGCCTGGATTACCTCTCAGTCGCTTAAACCAACCAATCAGAGCGCTTTGAGTGCAGGGCATGGGAAGGCTTTACAAGCTCAGTCGGCGCCGTACCCTCCAAGGCTGAAGATGGATAATTTTTTACCGTCTAGATTTATTTTTTCTGTCTTATTTTTTTTTCGCCATTTTATTTTTTTTTACGTTCAAGTTTTTTATTTTATTTTCAAAGTTCGACGGGTACTATAGATTTTTATTTCACCTTTTTTGGGGCTGAAAAATAGAAGGTTTTTAGAAAAAAAAATATATCAAATGGTAAGTTTGTTTTATTTACAAGTATTTAGTTTTCTTGTTCCCCCCTTTCTATTTTAAGGGTGAGGGGGTAGGTAGGAATTTATTTACTTTTTTGGGGGTGGGGGGTGACTAGGGGCTTGGGGATTCCTAGTCACCCGGGGGGTTCATTTAGCACCCACACGCCACTCATGGGTGGGGGTCATGGGGAGGAGGACTATTGGTCCCTCATTGTTGTTTAAAGCCCTCACCTGTTGCCCATGGATGTGGCCCTGGGGGGAGAACAATAAGTCCAAACCCCCCTTTTCATTTAGGGCCCTACCTTCTGCTCATGGGTGAGGGCCGGGGGGAGGACAATAGGTTCCACCCTTATTGTAATTTAGGGCCCCTACCCACCACTCATGGGTGGGGCCAGAGGAAGGACAAAATTATTGTAATTTAGGGCCGCCACCCGCCGCTTATGGGTGGGGGCTGGGGGGAGAACAATAGGTTCCCCCCTTATTGTAATTTAGGGCCCCCACCTGCTGCTCCAAGGCCCCCACCCGCTGCTCATGAGTGGGGGCTGGGGGGAGGACAGTAGTTCTCCCCACCATTTTCATTCAGGGCCCTCACCCACCGCTCATGGGTGGGGGTCAGTGGGGAGGACAACGGGTCCCCCCCATTTTCATTTAGAGCCATCACACATCGCTCATGGGTGGGAGTAGGGGGGGACACACTAGGTCCCCCCTTTAGTTTAATAGCCCCCACTCGCATGGCACGGATGGGTATTCAGGAGGGGGAACACTAGGGTTTTTTTGTTTTTTTTTACAGTGAGCAGCCACTGTTTGCTCACTGTTTAGTAGACATGTCCCTACTCACGGCATAGCGAGAAGGGGCGTTTGGGAGATTTCAATCTCCCTTATGCTATTATGGGGGTAATATTGACCCCATAGAGTGAGGGAGGACATGGAGCCGGTAGCTCCCTCCTTGTAATAAAGCAAACGAATGAATGGATAGGTCTTCATTCATTCATTTGAAATTTCTATTCATTTATTTGTCTTTCTGACAAATTAATGAATAGATGAAATTCCCGTTTGCATTAACTGGGCATGCGCAGGAATTTCATAGCGCTATCTAATGTGGGCAGATGACGTGTCCCACAGGGCCTTCATCTACCCACACAAAGATGGCAGTGCCCAGGACCTAGGTCCGGGCATGAAATAAAGATTTTAAAAAATAGGTAATATGGGGGGCTTAGGGGCATTTGGGGGTAACTAGTGGGACAAAACAAAATAGTGGAGTTGGGAGGAGGAGTTAAAAAAAATGTGATTCGGCCATGACAGGCCAGCTTTAAAGGAACACTATAGTCACCTAAATTACTTTAGCTAAATAAAGCAGTTTTAGTGTATAGCTCATTCCCCTGCAATTTCACTGCTCAATTCACTGCCATTTAGGAGTTAAATCACTTTGTTTCTGTTTATCCAGCCCTAGCCACACCTCCCCTGGCTATGATTGACAGAGCCTGCATGAAAAAAACAAAACTGGTTTCACTTTCAAACAGATGTAATTTACCTTAAATAATTGTATCTCAATCTCTAAATTGAACTTTAATCACATACAGGAGGCTATTGTAGGGTCTAGCAAGCTATTAACATAGCAGGCATAAGAACATCTTAATTAAACAGAACTTGCAACAAAGAAAGCCTAAATAGGGCTCTCTTTACAGGAAGTGTTTATGGAAAGCTGTGCAAGTCACATGCAGGGAGGTGTGACTAGGGTTCATAAACAAAGGGATTTAACTCCTTAATGGCAGAGGATTGAGCAGTGAGGCTGCAGGGGCATGTTCTATACACTAAAACTCCTTCATTAAGCTAAAGCTGTTTAATAGACATTTACCTATTTTGAGATTGACATATATAAGGAAACTGAATTAAGGAGCTTTCTACTAAACAGTTGAAAGTTTAAAATTCCTAAATTTGAATGATCAGCGGTTTAATAGATTGCACCCTAATTTGGTATCCTTATACATGGAAATTCCACATAAGGATACCACATTAGGGAGTTATCTACTAAACTACTGAAGTTTAAAATAAATAAGGGATTTTGCAAAGTGTAGTATTTGAGCAGTTTAATATATAATTCCCTAACTTTGTAGCCTTACGTGGAATTAAATTTTGATCTTTCAGCTGTTTAGTAGATAGGTCCTTACTTTTGTTTCCTGATATATAGCAATCCCTGGATACCAAATCACAAGATTGTCTATTAAACTATTAAACTGATCAAAGATGAAAAAAATCTATTTTCTTAATTTTAAACTTTCAGCAGTTTAATAGATAATTCCTTAACTTTATATTCTTATGTGGGATTAGCATATACACGGATACCAAAGTAAGGATATATCTATTAAACAGCTGAAAGTTTAAAAATAAATACAGTTTGACCTTTCAGCTGTTTAGTAGACATTAACTCACTTCCATCCAGCACTGCTGATCTGACAGGAACCTGGTCGGGCTGTAATAAAAAAATAAATAATCATAATTAAAATAAATAAATAATAATATTTTAAAACATACATATATATAAATGAAATTAACATGTATGCCCATATCTGTTCTCAGACCACTAGGTGGCACTTGAACACAACATTAGCTTACTTTCAGATTACATTTTAGAAATGTAGTAGTAGAAAGACTTCAGTAAAGTATCTCAAACATGCATCATTGAGCTCAACAGGAAATGTTAAAGAATATAAACATTTGTATGTGTGTGTGTCATTATATCTTAATGCTAATGGCCATATTTCCATGGACTTTAATGGAGGAATTGGTATTCGGCTAAGAGAATCCAGACAATTTTTTAAATTCAAATTGAAAAATTAAGCCTCATAACATATAAAGTAGAATTATTGGTTTATTTATTTAGGGCTAGTTATTAATCAGTCTAAGCTGAATATTAATCAGATTTTTTTTAAAATTCTTTATTTTTGTGTGCAAAATAGAACAAGCACTAGTACTGAGACATTTCAGAGAGTATGCTATAAGAGATAACATAAGTGTAACAATAAATGTCAATAGGTCTGCACATTTTTAAATATGGAAAACACAAGTCAGAGTAATGTCTGAGCGTAAACTAAACAGATTGGGTTAAATAGTATTAAGCAACTTCGCTAGATACACCACATAGTATTAAAGATCAGACTAGGTCATGTAGCTAAAAACAATTAGATTTATGGTCCCCAGGAGGCTCCCTTATGGTTATATGTAAAGGAACCACGCAGGGCAATGTAGGATATGTAAGTAACTAATAGGGTAAACAATATTGCTGTTTAGGCTAAGCCTTATAAGGAGGGAGCGGTATATATATATAAAGCAAATGACCCATCAGAGTCTGTACAATAGGCTATGAAGGGGCTCAATGCGGGTGGAGATTCACTCCTGTATTACCGGTCAGCCCACGCCTTGTACAGGCAAAACACAGTCCTCTACAGATGGGGTGTGTACCTTGGGCTAGGTGATCCACTTGGAGATGGATACTTATTTTCAAATTGGAGGTTTCGTGGGCTCATGTGTGCCTGCACAGGTGCTTGCGAGATCCAGGGAACTGACTTCTTGCACTTGTTACCTCTCGTGAATCTCGTAGTCACCAACCTTCTGATGGGCTCCTGTCGGCCCCCGTCTTTCCGGGCGGGCCAGGGTAGGAGATGTTGGGGTGGTCTTCCTGTCATCCTTATAAGGGGGATTCAGTTGTAAGGCTTACTCTTCGTTACTACAGGGTGTAGGCATGCTTTCAGATTGTCCCAGAAAGCTCGAAAGGTCCTGTCGAGCCGGATCTCCATCTCAGACCTCTAACATCCTGGGCTGAAGGAGAATGCATCCTCCGCCATTTTGAGTGACGAGTTGCTGCTTGAATCATGCTCCACAAACACTGTCGTGCTCTTGCCAGGTTGCGGACCAGGATGACCCCCGCCGGTCCAGAGGGGGACACAACGTGAGCCATGTTTCAGGATTCCAGCTGTGTGTGTCAGCGAGGGAGCGACCGTCTCCATTGCACCGACCAAGCTTGTAGCCCTCATGAGCAGGTCAGGTGAGCATTTCTTTAAACTTCGCTTGTGTGGTATCGTTGTGTGCACCGCAGTGTTACTTCACGCCAGGTGGCTTTTTTGCATAGTTTAGGTCTTGTTTGTGTTGCGGAATTCCAGTTGTTTTGCCTCGTAAAGCAGGAGCTGCCAGAGCTAACGTTCTCTCAGCTCAGCGATCAGGCCCCGCCCCAATATCAATCGAATTTAATAAAACTAAAGGTGAAATATAAACATATCCGGAGATTTACCCCCATATACATGTGCATATCATAATAATTATGGTTAGATGATCAGGGGCGTTTCTGGAATATTTGTTTATATCTACTATGAAGTTTTACATTTTGATCGTTTATTAAAGCAGTTTTATTCCTTGAAACATTTGTTGTCATAGACATGCTTTATTTAACATTCAGGCTCCTCCTCACTTTTTAAACAGGACATCCCAGAGTATTTTGTCAAGAACCTGCACATGTTCAAAATTTATTTTCTGCAAGATGAAGCTGTGGTTGACTTTATTGCTGCTTATCTGTGCGACAGGTAAAAGGGACAGAATGATTTATTTTCTTAACTTGTTAATTGGGAATAATGTACACAGTAGCAGTGTATTAAATGAAATATGCAGATTGGATGTGCTTATTCAGTCAACTAAATTTATGTGTTTCTACATGACATACAAGAGATTAATTTACATTAGCTACAAGTAAGTTAATGGTGTTAGATTGTGTTTACCTATTTCATGACATTATGTTTTGTTATTTTCAGGTTTCTCCAGCTCAGACAACGTCACCCAGACCCAAAGCGAAATAACTGCTGCAGAGGGAAGTCTGGCTCCGTTTTACTGTAAATATGAAACACAATATAGCAACCCAGATCTTTTCTGGTACGTGCATCAGCCAGGCAAGGCCCCTCGTTCTATTATTTGGAGAACTGAATACAGCAAGGTAGAACCGGAACCTGGTACCCGGTATGCCTCCAAACTGGATAAAGAAACCACCTCCATCTACCTGAAGATTTCTGATGTCACAGTGTCTGACTCTGGGGTGTATTATTGTGCTCTGAGGCCCACAGTGTCTGTGTCTGCAGACTGCACTGTACAAGAAGCTCTGACACACGGCTGAAGCTATTGTGTGTCCCTTCATTGAATAAATAGAGAGACAGTAGTGTCTGTGTATAGAAGTCAAAGAAAGAGCTCTAAAGGAATGCTTGCTATAAAAATTCTCACCTTTCACAGGAGAAAGGCAATAAAAGGAACAGTGGACATTTGGACATGTTTATATTTGAAGGATCAACATGCCAGAATGGTGTATTATCCAAACATGCTGGCATGGTTAACTAATAAATTGAGAAATGCCAGGAATTCAAAGGGAGTTTAAAATTTAAGGCCAAGATAGCCAAACTGAAAACAGAATTGATTTGGAGAATGTTTCTAAATCATCTATTTTTGCCTTTATTATGAAATTCACTTTGAATTCTGAGCAGTTCTCACTGTAGCGAATAACTCTGTCAGTGTTAAATGAATTAAAAATGGTTTTAATTCACTTAACACTGACAGTTTGAGATTTATAATTGAAATGACTGAATTACTTTATATACTGTAAAACATGCACTCATATTGCTCTATCTTTCTATCTATCTATCTATGTATCTATCTATAAACCCTATGACCCATATAAACCTCTTCAACTTGCCTAATATCATGTAGATCAGGGGTGCCCAAAAGGTAATTCCCCAGATGTTGTAGAAATACAACTCCCATGATGCTTTCCATGCCTTTAGAATGCCTTTAGATGACTAAGCATCATGAGAGCTGTAGTTTTAAAATATCTGAGGATTTACCTTTTGTGTGCCCCTGAAGATCCTCTGTGTGCTGCTAAAACAGCTCTAACACATCGATGCATGGACTCTGAATGTGTTGTGTGGTATCTGGCACCAAGATATTAGCAGCAGATCCTTTATGTGCTGTGTCGGATTTGTTTTTACAGCACATTCAATAGATACTTATCAAATTGAAATCTGGGAAATTTGGATGACAGGGCAACACCCTGAACTCTTTGTCATGTTCCTCAAACCATTCCTGAACAATTTTTGCTGTATGAAAGAGTGCATTATCTTGTTGAAAGAGGCGACACCCATCAGGGAACACCTTTGCCATGAAGGGGTGAGCATGGTCTTTAACCATCTCTAGTTAGGTGGTACGTGTTTAATGTGCTGCTTGGCCTTCAAATTCCCCGGTTCTCAATCCGATTAAGCATCTGTGGCATGTGATGTACCAACAATCCAATCCATGGAGGTCCCACCATACAATTTGCAGGACTTAAAGTGTGTACAATAAAATGCCTGCAGGGACAGGCTATATAGAACTGAACCACTACATTAGGCTGTAGTGGTTCTGGTGACTATAGTGTCCCTTTAAAGTATCTGCTACTAATGTCTTGGTGACAGATACCACTGGACATTTTAGATGTCTTGTGTAGTTCATGACCTGCGCATCAGAGCTATTTTGGCATCATGAAGACCTGAACAATATCAGACACATGTTTTTAATGCTCACGTGCATTAGGCTTCCTGTCAAGGCTGCTAGTGTGGTCCAACACGCAGAAACTATGTAAACATATACATACAAAAGAAAAGGAAAATAAAAGGACAGAGCGTAAACCGGACCTTAGAATAGCCGGATTAATACGATAATAGATAGAGAATGGTCAAAGGGAAAGCCGAGGTCAAGGAAGCCAGAAATACTCAAATACCGTTTAAACAAGCCAAGTCAGGGGAACCAGAATTGGGAATAACCAGGGAAAAGCCAAGATCAGGATACCAGGAAATCAGATTCACAAAGAAAAACACACTCTCGGGAACCAGGAACAGGAAACCACGACAGGGCAAGGAGCTAGAGTGAATTAGGGTTTTAAATATCCCTCTCTGGTTTCTGATTGGTCAGAGGGTGAAAAACCTAAAAATAAGTGGATTGCATAATTTAACTCAGTTCAAAGCTAGAATAAAGTGACTGTGACCTTGAAAAAGCGATACTGTGTCGAGATTGCCTTGACTGGAGCTGAATTGATGCAGGTGCATCAATATTGGAGCAACGTTATTGAATTGACATGGTGAGTGTACTCTATTTTTGATGCAAGGATCTAGAGGGATGGCACAATCTTGATACAGTGGCATCAAAATCAGAAGGTTGCCTTACAAATATGCTTCAACCGGAGTTAAACTATTTAATAAAACTATAAAATAATATTTTTAAAAAACATTAGGACATTGTTTAGTAATGCAAGATGTTAAATATCCTTTCTGAAATAACAGGTATATTTTCTTTTTACCAGAGATTGTGGATGGAAAACTTAGAGCATTGGAAACATAGATTATTCAGCTTTAAGTACTATTATATACATCAGATATTAAATTATACAATATTTAAACATTTTAATGACTGGTCTTGTTCGGCAGTATGTTACTTTATATCTAAATACTAAGGATTTACTTATTATGCGTTATATCTTCTTATTTATTCCGAAATAATTTTTGTAATTAAAAGTGTTTAGTTTTGTGTAATTGTCACATTTAGGTTGGATTTAATGTGTCCTTTCACCTTGGTACAAAACTAGAGTAATTTCAGATAAAACTGCAATTCACCTGAATTTGTACTGACTGGGTGTTTCCATGGAATATACCAAAATTATGTACTAAGCAAGCTGCGTAATGCCAAACATTTTCTGAAAAGGGGGGTTTATCTACATTCTAAATTCTACTCATGGCATCACAAAAAAAAAAAAAGAGATGATTGATAAAAATAATGATGATTGATGGCTAGGAGACATTCACTAAATGTTGATTTTATTTACAGATCAAGTGAGAAGTGAGCAACAGATGAAAAACATGAAGAACAGTTAAAAAACAAAACTATATATATAGTTTATTTCTGTTTTTAACTCTATTGATTACTTTTTCTCAGTTGAACTATGTCAGTATAATGCAGAACCTAAGTTAACCAAACTAAGAGTCGACAGACACAGGAGAATGTTTATTACCAGGCCTTAGAGTGTCCGGCCTTAATGCAAATATAAAGTAGTATAGAACAAGCCAAGGTTTGGGAGACAGAAAATAGCAAATACGACAAGAGGGCCAAAGGTCATGGACAATAGAATGGAGAATAATCAAGTAGGTCAGAAAAGCCTTTGAGTATCACTAGGAAAAATACAGTTTTAGATAACCTCTAAAAGGACACCATGACAGGACATAGTGCAACATCTAATGAGGGTATGCATAGCTTTAAGTGGGCAGAGATTGGTTTATTTGACCCCTATGACGTGCACACATGTCCAAGTAATCACCTTGGCCTGAACAGGCAGAGCCATAAAAATGTTACAATATGCAGCGACTGGCGTTAGACTGGACGCCAGAAGGAGAAGCTCTCTCACTGGAGAAGGATGGATTTGGTACATAGGGACACTCCTCCGATCCTCTCACAGGGCGAGCGCACTCACAACTGATGAACCAAATCATGGGAAAATGCTCCTACCAGTGTCTGAAAAAATAAATTAACACTGTGTGTTTTTCAGCACAGTGAATGGTTCAATTATGTGCCTTTTTAGTTTGGCCTTCTGAGTTACCTCCCAAATGGGTATTTGGCTGAGCAGAATCAACATCTGCCCAAATTTAAGGTGTCCCAAAATATTTTCTATCTACAAAAAAATTAACTGACATTTTTAACTGTGCACACGTCTATAGTTGTTGCCAGCATGATACAGTATAACTTTTTTATTAAAGGAATACTCTAAGAACCAAAATAACTTTAGGCTTAATGAAGAATTTTAGTATATAGATCAGGTCCCTGCAGGGGTTAAATCACTGTGCTTATGTAGTCCTCAGCCACACTTCCCCTGGCTGTAACTCACACAGCCTCCATGAAAAAAATGGTTTTATTTTATTTAGATGTGACAGCTCAGTGTGTTTAACTTATAAGTTTTCATCTCCTGCCCTTTTAATTGAACTTTAATCACACAGCTCTAGCAGGCTATTAATAGAGCAGGATCTATGACATTCTAAACAGACTCTGCAATAAAGTTTATACGTTAGATCTCTCTTACAGGAAATGTGTAGGTAGATTCTTTATGCGTGGAATGTGGCTAGGGCTGCAAAAACAACATTTTTAACTCCTAAATGGCATAGAACTGAGCAGTTGTACTGTGGGGGCATGATCTACACACTAAAATCACTCTTATCTAAAGTTGTTTTGGTGCTCATAGTGCACCTTTAATTAATGTACTTTTTTATGAGTGTAAAGATCCTATTGAATATGTGTTATAAGAATGTAAAGCTTCTATATTTGAAAACTCCTATGTTTGTGTGAAACTGTTTGCACAGTGATCACCATTCTGTTTTGTGGTCTGAATAATAATTATTTAAAATTAATTTTATAAATTTGTCCTTAGTTACTTCACTTTTGTAATGACAGCAGAAGCATTTTTATTGGATGGCCGCTAGGTGTCACTAGTCAGCAAAATGTTTTCTTGCAAAATATAAATAAGGGGTAAGATCAGGAACGCTGAATATTGTATCCTAGGAGTGTAATGCCATTAAGGTGATCTGGAGAAACCAAAATGAACGACAAGAGATTTATGAACATCTTTAAAACCCTGAGATGTGAATAAAGGTTAGAGGTAGAGTTATTAGAGGTAAAGCTAGGTTAAGGTTAGAGCTAAAGACAACTCTATCCTGAAATGCATGCTGAAGACAAAAATTAAGTCAGAATTACCCACGAACAAACAACAACCGAAGACAACTACAGCAAAGTGTAATAATGAACATTTTATTAATGATTGTGTTAATTAGTTCAATTACATTTGAATCTTTGAAATAAGGGGATTGTGAAGGAAAAGTTTGCAATTCCTAAACGTTTCATATTTCTGTTCAACCCATTAAATTAAAGCTGAAAGTCTGCATCTCAATTGCATCTCAGTTGTCAATTGTGGTGGCGTACAGAGCAAAAATTCAGAAAATGATATATATATGCACACACACTTGCACAGCTTAGAACGGAGTGCATATGGGATAGCAATGTATATATGTAAGAGGATTCCAGACTATGTGAACATGTTCAGGGATAGTATTTATTTACACTTTTTCTTTTATGTAACTTCATAATTTAGTAAAAACATTTTTTAAAGTTTTTCTGATCAACACAAATATTCTTTTTGGTTCCATTAAATAAAAAATGAAGTGTGCAATGAAATGTACATACATTTTTACATTACTTCCTGGTACACCTAAAATACAGGGTGGTGTCTCTGCGGATATTTTTTGTGTGTGCAAATGGCTTGGGATTGAAGGGGTTAAGTGATGTTAGGTATGCCATCAGTAGATTGAAACATTTCCTCTTTTAATGTTTGTCACAGATTTCATGAGAACCCACCCTGTACAGAACAGCCCTGTTGGATGTGGTACTTTAAATCATCCTAGACACGCCTCCCAATTCCCTGTATAAAGCCTCTTGAAAGACCTGAAGACCTTTCTTAGAATGAGGCTGTGGTTAATGTCAGTGCTGAGCATTTGTCTTTTAGGTAAGAAAGACACAGTTTGGTAGAAAACAGATTTCTCTGATGTATATATTAATGGTAAATACTAGATGGGTTTTAAACTGTATTCACTTATATCTATCGCATTCTAATGATTTATCCATTCACTTCTTGTATATTAAAAATACTTTTGCTACAATTTACAATAACTTACATATACTGTTTTTTTTGTTTTTATATATATATATATATATATATACATATATTGTTCCTCTTTTACATTTTTTTAATGTAATTTTTTTTAATTCATTTCAGAATTCTGCAGAACAGATAATGTCACTCAAATACTTGCTAAAATATCAGCTACAGAGGGAGGTCATGTTAGATTTGACTGTGAATACCACACAAAAAGCACTGACGTGGACCTATTCTGGTATGTGCATCAGCTAGGACAGGCTCCATATTCTGTTATTCGAAGAGCTGCTTACCTCAGCGTTGAGAAAGAATCTGACACCAAGTATGAATCTAAACTGAACACAGACACCAACTCCATCTACCTGAAGATTTCTGATGTCACAGTGTCTGACTCTGGGGTGTATTATTGTGCTCTGAGGGACACATTGTCTGTGTCTGCAGACTCCACTGTACAAGAAGCTCTAACTCTGTCCAATGTTCTTTAGATCTGCTGCATTTTTACTAATGTTTAAAAACATATTAAAGGGGCATTGAGTTTACACATGAAGTACTATGTATCGATTGTTTTTAAAGTGAGTTTAAATAATTGATCAGTGTAGTTAATTTCTGCATGGCTTATTGGCATGTCTTTAATCTAAAATGTGTTATTATCTTAATCACTTTGGCTAAAATAATATTATAAGTAACATTTAAATTATCTAGTAAATTTGTGAATGGCAAGAAATTTTGAATCTGCTGAATCATATTTTGCCAAAAACAGAACATTTTTTTAAGACACCTAACTTTGGGCCAGATATTGGTTTGGCTTGACTGGTTTGGTTTTTTAACCAAATCAAGAGGATAAAGCAAAAAGTTGCAAAAATGTTTAAATAAAAGTAAGATATTTAGACTACCTATTTGCTTTGGGGCAGTCGTTTTATACTTTTATTTTTTTTTTGTGTTTATTTTATTTGTACCTGGCACAACCTAGTTTCCATACACATCAGGTCCATCATCAAAAGTATCCTAGGTGGGGATTGTTCCACCCACGCTGTTACCATAGAGAGGTTTGTCTGCTCCCAAAATTGTAAGTACATTTCATCTTTCTACTACTTATTTGCAAATGTGGAGAGCACTATGGGCCTTCTTTTTCTTTAATTGCATGTAAACTACACTACAACTACCGTTTGAGGGATATCCCGCAAGTTGAAATACCACTGTAAGCTGTTTTACCAAGAGCTGGTTATAGCTCTGAAAAATGTGAGTTGGCAATTTTTAATTCTATGGTGTCTATAGTCCATAGACTTACAATACCGCACTATTGGTCTCCTATTCTCTCTTTTGCATATGCCATTGATGTGTGATACCACTCCGGAGACATCTTATTCAACATTTGAAGACTTTTATAACATCAAAAGCCATATTTTTCTTAAATTCTTTATTTTGAACAGTGCTTCTTTTTTCAGATAATACAGGTTTATGCATCATGTCATTACATTACGGGTGTATAAACAAGAGTGTAGATAGGTCATGATAGGGGAGAGGAAAAGAAAAGCACCTTTTTTTTCTTTTTCTCCGTACTTGTGTCCCCTGTGCCACATAGTGGAGCTACTATTGGGTGTAGTGTACTGTAGAGTTGTTTAAGGTGGCTTTGGGGGTGAGGGGGTATCACCTATGTGTGTTGTGTTACCCCTAGTGGGGGGTTCAGTTGCGTATCACATAGTGCAGTGGTGGTGTGCATGAATGACCTTCTGCTTCTGGTAGTGTGGCGATTTAGCGTTGCTGGTCTGAGTGGTGCGAGAGATGGTGGTTACTTGCATGGGTGGTGGTGTGTCTCTGGTCTACTCGTGTGTGTGGTACCCAGTATCCTCGGGGAAGAGGTCCTCGGGTAAATAACCTCTTGTGCTACTGGGCCTCTATTACTGATATGGTGCTGGTATACACAGTGAGAAAAGAAAATCTGGTGATGCCTGCTGCAGTCCTCAGGGAATGTATGAACATTAGGTGTAGTCTTGGCTTAGTCCCTTTTTGGTGTGTCATCCGAGTCAGTGGGTGCCCATCAGATCATTCCTATAATCAAGTGTCCGTCGTTGTGTGGCTCCCTTGTCGGGGCACGAAGGGGATCACGTCTCTGGGTTCCATATTCCGTTCATGGTACTTCCTGGCATGTTAAGGTCAGGTGCCTCTATTCCGAGAGCAGCGTACAGTGTAGGTGCCTCCGTGAGTGCGCAGAGTGTGTGGGTAGTCCCGTTCCGGTGGACAAGTAAGGTGCCCTGCATTCCCCAGCGATAGGGTATTCCCTTGTCTCGGAGGTGAGTCGTGATGGGGCTAATGTGTCTTCGCCACTGCAGTGTTGCGCTAGTGAGGTCTTCGAAGAGGTTTAAGGAGGAGTCCTCAAACTGCAGTGGGGTTTTACTTCAGAATGCCGCCATAATTTGTCCTTTGTCAGTCGCAGTGGTGCAGCAGATTATCACGTCCCGGGGTTCTGGGTTGGAGGTTTTGGCAATGCTGGTAAGTCTGAAGACAGCATCTAATGAGATTTTTTTAGCCACCGCTGGTGGGAGTATGGCGGCTAGCAGCCTCTGGACGTAATGCGGAAGTTCTTCTGTTCCGACCGTCGCTGGTATGCCACAGATTTTTATGTTGTTCCACCTTAATTGATCTTCAAGGGTTGTCAGCCATTGTGCCAGTATCTAGTGGTGAGTATGAAGCTGTTGCACTGGGTTCTTAAGGTGGGACACCTCAGAGTGTATATCTAGGATGCCGTCCTCCATGACCTTTATGCGGTCTGCGTTTGCTAGGATTTCTGTGCGGACGCATGCTAGGTCAGCCGCCATCATTTTAGGGAGGTCTGCAAGCAGTAGCTTAAGGTCATCTTTGGTATTCGGTGCCATGCTGTCCACCTGTTGTAAGCTTTGGGGTGGTTCCTGGTGGGGTGTTTGCCCGGATTCTTCGTCTCGGCTCTCTGTCCCCATGGATGGCGCTAATGTGGTGTAGTTGGCCTCTGCTGTAGGGGTTTTCGGGGCTGGTCTCTGGAGCATAGCCCCTATGTCCCTGTCGGGTTTCTGCATGCAGCGTTTCATATTTGGGGTGTTGAGCAGTCCGGTCTGTTCCGGGATGTTTGGGCTGTATGCTCAAACAAGGTTGCCGAGGAGAGAGTCTAGGCCTTGAGGCGTCGGATATTGGTAGGCCCCAGATCTGCGCCTCTGTATTGTATTACTTTGGGGTGTATTGAAAGGGCATCGTCGATGCAGGAGGGTCACCTGTGCACACTTTTCGTGTTTTTAAGGCTTGGTGTCAGGCTGGGAAGGCAATATTTGCTGTTTTTTGCTGTGCTTGTGAGGAGCTCAAGGAAATGGCGACTGTTCAGTTTCATGCCTAAGCTCCACCCCCCCAAAAGGACATTTCTATCTTTTACTTGGTACCTTTTTGCTTACTTACCACAATATTGTATTTATTTTGGCGATACCTGTATCCTTTGTTCTGTTAGTTCGATTTATCCTTGAAGGTTTTGAGGGTTACCTTCCTATTAAGGTGGGCAGCCCGCTTGTGATTATTTATTGTAGCGCTGTTCCACCCTTGCTTTTTATGGATATATGTATGAGTGAGTATGTATACACATTTCTGTGTACATACATTATTATGTGTATATTTCTGCCATTATATATGTATGCACATATATGTGTAGTATATATGTGTCAGTATACATGCATGTACCTAATGTATTGCAAGTATGCAAATGCATCAATAGGCATAATGCATTAACCATAATATGACAGATTATAAAATTACAATATATATACTTAGTTAACCAGATATACATTATCAGTCAAAGAACTAAATTAAGAACCCTCACGAGCACCAGTATGAAGGATTAACAACTTTTCAACTAAAGGGATTCTTGATTGAGTATTAAATTACAGATACATTATACACATTGGCTCTAGAAAGGGAAAACACCAAAATATGCCACCTGCTGGTAAAATAGTAATATTGCCACTGCATCTGCTAAGTTCAGTAGGCAGGTTAGGTGCCTACTGACTTATTTGACTTATTTGAAGTTGGGCCTCCCTGACCAATTCATTTAATACTCCCTTTTAGTAAACATATTCTTAGTTGATAATGGAGAGATGGTGGGTATTTTGAATGGAATAAAAGGAGGTAGTCAGGAAGGAATGAGAAGCCGAAAAGAGCTGAACAATCTGAGATCTGGATAGCTGAGACCATCTGGGCACTTCTTCCCTTATAGGTAGCTTCCATTCCACACACATTGCCTTAGTGAAGGGTCATTGATACTTGGTAATGTTTACCTGATAAACTATTTTATCACTGTTGCCTTTGCTAATATGTTTCTGTTGTGTCTTGGATGGTTGAAATAACTATAAAGTTGCTTTCATTTTGAAGCCTATGTTAGCATGACACAATTTGTTAATTTGATTATATTATTGGGAGTATTCAGTTTTATTCATTTAATGAAAATTGAGTAATTTATTTGGACAATAACTACTTCCCTTTGTGCTTTGTACCACCTACTGAAATACATTTAGGAATATGTTCATAAAAGGGTATTTTTAAATGCAATATTATTTTAATAATGGTGGGGTAGATAGGGCATCTAAATAATTAAACAGTGGGGGTGATATGCTATTTCCTAACCCAAATAGAGGCATGTCAACCCCACTCCTCTACCCACCAGTGTCTTTGAGTCCCAATCTCTTAGCCACCTCTATTAACAATAAATGACCCGGAATCAGGAATGGTACGACTGCCCAAGTCTGCTATTAATGATTTTCTAGATCAAATGTGTCTGCCACACGTAAACCAAAATCAAGCCCTTATACTTACTGATGAGATGGTGAAGATGGTGATACATAGCCTTCCTAAACATAAAAATCCAAGGCATGATGGATTA